CCCCGAAGGGCTGGAGAAATTCGGCCTCTTCAAGCGAGAAAGAAAGAGAAAGATTCCTCTTCGAAAGAAAATTCGGTTAGCACCGTAAGGTCTTAGAAGAAGATGATCAAGAGGTTTTGGAAAATCTAATAAATCGCTCCACCACGATTTATTAGAGATCGTGTAAAGGTCATACAATAGAAGATTCGAAGGTTGTTGATTCGTATTCCGTTCGATATATTTCCAGTTTTCACGGTCAGTTCTTGATCCATAGTCTGCGTTAAATTTACGCCAAACAGTCTGTAGCGCGACGGTGAGCATCGCGGTCTCTCCGGGCGGAGGTCGCAGGTTCGATCCTTCTCCTTGCAGAAATAGGAGATTTCTTTTTGGCTCCAGGCGCGCGGGCTTTCTGGCTCGCAACAGCCCGCGCGCGGCCCGATGTACCTCTCAGCTGGCAGCCCGCATCCCAGCCCGCGATTGGCCCGCGCTCATCTCAGATCCCAGCCCGTGAGCGGCCCGACCAAGCCCGCGAGCAGCCCAACATCTTCAGCCCATCTCGCGTGGCCCAACTCCGTAGTCCGCGGCCCAGTTCGTGATTCTTCAGCCCAGCCCGTGTTCAATGATACCTGGCGGCCCAGCAATCATTCCAGTGCGTGTCTCATGGGCCAGATGGTGTCCAGCACGACCAGCTTGAGCCCAATGCGAACCAGACCGGTCCAGGCGGTCCATGCAGCTCAGATCGGCCCAGCAGCGTGGCAGAATGGTTCAACCCGGTTCAAGTGGATCCAGAAGCCCCGGTTCGAGTCCAAGATGGTTCCCGAGCAGTCCGAAGAGTCCAACTCACCTACCGAAGGTCCGAGACGATCCGATGAGCTTGATGAGCGCGATTGGAACACCATGGTGACTCGATTAGAATCGAGAAAGGCCAAGTCTAGCTGCCCATTAGACTTTGGTGTTCAGACGATCTCCATCAACGGAAATCAGAAACGTCTCAGAGTCAGCAAAAATTTTTAAATCGTAAGTCCTAATCCTAACTATAGATTCCACTGCGTTAGGATTTATTATTCAATAGATTTGAATGTGCACATTGTCGACGTTCCTAATAGAACTCAACAACTGGTATCAGAGCCCAGGTTAATTCGACTTTGTGAACTATTTAAATTAGGGCTTGCGTGATATATGTGAATTAATTATGTACAGACGCAGCGCATAATA